GTCGCTGGCCGAGCTCGAAGGTGGCGAGGCACGCGTGGAAGCGGCTGCCAGCGTCGTCTCCTCGAGCCCCCCACCGTCGTCGCACGTGGAATCCGAGACGACGGCCCCTCTAGTTGCGTTGGCGTCAGTCAAGATAGGGTCGACGTTGAACTTTAATGCCACGTTGCGGATGCGCGCCCGAAAAGCGTCGGTCTGTTCGTCTCCCGAGCGGCCGCGCGCGGCGCGCGCGACTGCCGCCGTTCGTCGCGGCTCCGGCGCGGCAATTCGGGCGACGCGCACCCTTGGGCCCCCGCACAATGCCTCGACGCGGCCGGGCCCCACGCAGCTTCTGGCCCCGCTTTTCTCGGCGCCGGGCAGGCCGTCGCGAGCGCGCGCCAGGCGGCCACGGGCGCGCCCGCCGGAGATGGCGCGAAATCCGCACATGGCCACATGGCCCCCGCCCCCCAAGGCAACCCCGTCTCCAGCGCGCCAACGAAGTAGGCCCTCATATGCTTCAGCTGGCGTTGAGCGACATCAGCCCTTGCGATCTCGCGTCGCTGCCCCCGCCCTGCGCGGGCGGATTGCGCGAAGCCCCTCACGTCGGGGGCGATCGCATCGAGGTCGACGTTCGCCGTTTCCCCCGGTCAGAAGCGCACTGGCGCCCCCAATGCTGCAGGGGGCGCCGCGATCAAGCCGTAGTTGACAAGCCGGGGCACGCACTTTGGTGTTCTCGTCGGCTTGGCGGACAAATCTCAAACGCATTTGGCGGGCGGCGTCGCGTGCATCTGCCCATGGTGGCTGCGGTCTGCTGTCTTGCCCCGAGCTCTGTTACTTGGCAACGAGTCAGCAGAATCGTTCCGCGCCCCGCGCGGGCGCATGCGCAGTCGGCATGCATTCGGCTTGTCGCGGTTAGTGGGTGGGGCTGATTCCCGGTGTCTGGCCCTCCCGCACAGCGCAGCACATGCCATCGGTTTGCCCCGGTCCATGACGGACGCGGACGGCGGGGGCCACGACGTCAGGTCCGACGGCGCGGGCCCGGCGGACGTCGTCTCCGCCGAAACCGCGACCTGCCGCCGGCCCCCCAGGTCGGCGTGCAGGCGGTCGCAGAGACTGGAGTCGGCACCCCACACCCTCAACTCGCTCTCGCACGCTAGGTTGCGCCTGGCACGCGCCCTGCGCCCACGCTGTGGTTCGGTACTCGGTAGCCCCACAAAGTTGTGGTAGTGGTAGCGGATGCGGTAGTCGCGGGTTCACTACGTCGCCCGTCTGTCTGCTGCCCTGACTGGGGACATTCGTGGCCTTGCGCTCCGCCTGAACGGCGCCACGGCTGGTCCGTGTCCGGGCTGGGGGCCACGTGGCTCTGCCAATCGAACGACGCGGGCGTCCGCGACACCGCCGAGGCGGGCGATGCCGGCCCTGGCTGCGCGGACAGCACGGCGCTCCAGACTCACTGTAGGCAGCGCGGCCCCTGGAGGGATCCGCGCCGCTACGCGACCGTCAGAGGGTTACCACTGCAGCCCCGCGCCCTGGGCTGCATCCTCGCTGGTCGCAACGTCGGGTGCTGCTTCTGGGTCATAGGGCGCGATCTAGTGGGGCTCGACGGGGTCGATAGTAGCCACCCGCGACTTCCTTGCGCGTGAGCCTCTCGTCGCAGGCGCCGGACGTTTGCGAGCAGGAGGCAGGGGGGATCCTTTCCCCAGCGTGCCGGTGAACCTCTTCTGTGGTGCGTTGGCCTCCAGGGTGAGCTCCTCGGCAATTGCGGCGCCGTCGCCCCTCTTCACCCTTGGCGACGGCACGTCCAGCAACATGACCTCATTGATTGGTTGTCCCCGTGGCATAGATCTCGGTGACCAGGCGCTCGGCGCCGAGCAGTCGCAGTCGACGCTACCAGACCCTTTGCTCGGTGACCCTGTTGACAATCGTTGCCTCCGAAGTTTCCCTCGTCGTGGAGCTCGGCGTGGGCCTGTAGGCGCCGGCCCTCCGCATCTCTCCATTCCCTGTGGAGCTTGGACTGCTCGTTTCGGTCGTTGAACCTTTGCGCCTAGATGGTGGCGATATGCTGCTCAACCTCGTTGGCCATGTGGAAGTAAGGCAGCCTTTCCATGGCCACCTGTTTTGCCTCTCGCAGCTGCTACTGTATGTTCACAGGGTCGCTGCTGCTCTCGTTAACCTTCTGCTGCGCAATCCTGGGTTCGTTTTGTAGCGCATCCATCTCGGCGTGGTCACGACGCTCTGGAAGATCCTCCGTGGTCCGCACCGCCTCGAAACCTCCTCCGTCCTGCTCATGGCTGCGATGTTCCTGGCTTGTAAGGAATCGTGATGGGCGGCTGGCATGTTGTTCGTCAACTTGGCGTTGTCGTTATCGTGCCGCGTCTCGTTCTGGTAGTGCCGGGTGTGGGTTGCTTCTCTGTGTTGCCCTCCGCCTCCTCCTCCTCATCATCTTCCCCTTCCTCCTCCTCCTCCTCGTGCTCCTCCTCCCCCTCCTCCTCCTCCTCCTCATCCTCATCCTTCAAATATGTTCATGTCCCTTAGTAATGGTATGAGCTTGCTATGTGTGTTCTTATTGTTGTGATTAATCAGGTTCTATGGCATTTCAAAACTAGTAGTAGTCGCAATCGTAGTAAATACTAGTAGTTGTTGTTGTAGAGGTGGTAGTAGTAGTAGTGGTGGTAGTAGTAGTAGTAGTACTACTACTAATAGTAGTAGTAAGTAGTAGTAAGTAGTACTAAGTAGTAGTAAGTAGTAGTAGTAGTGGTAGCAGCAGCAGCAGCAGCAGCAGTAGTAGCAGTAGTAGTAGCAGCAGTAGCAGTAGTAGTAGTGGTTGTAGTAGTAGTAGTAGTAGTAGTAGTAGTAGTAGTAGCAGTAGTAGCAGCAGTAGTAGTAGAGGTTGTGGTGGTAGTAGTAGTAGTAGTAGTAGTAGTAGTCGTAGTACTGATAGTAGTAGTAGCAGTAGTAGTAGTAGCAATAGTAGTAGTCGTCGTAGTCGTAGTAGTAGTAGTAGTAGCAGTAGTAATAGTAGTAGTCGTACTGGTAGTCGTAGTGGTACTAATATTTGTAGTAGTCGTAGTAGTAGTAGTAGTAGTAAGTAGTAGTGTAGTACTAGTAGTAGTAGTGTAGTAGCTAGTAGTAGTAGTAGTCGTAGTAGTAGTAGTAGGTGGTGGTGGTGGTAGTAGTAGTAGTCGTCGTCGTAGTCGTAGTGTAGTGTAGTAGTAGTAGTAGTAGTAGTAGTAGTAGTAGTAGTAGTATTAGTAGTAGTAGTAGTAGTATCAGTAGTAAGAGTATAGTAGTAGTAGTAGTAGTAGTAATAGTAAAAGTAGTAATAGTAGTAGAAGTAGTAGTAGTAGTAGTAGTAGTAGGAGTAGTAGTAGTAGTAGTAGTATAGTAGTAGTAAGTAGTAGTAGTAGTAGTATAGTAGTGTAGTAGTAGCGTAAAAAGTAAATAGTAATACGATTATTTATTATGATTATCCTCAGCCTCCTCCTCCTCTTCCTCCTCCTCCTCGTCCACCTCCCCCTCCACCCCCTCCTCCTCATCCTCCTCCTGTTCCTGCTAGTCCTCCTCCTCCTGCTCCTCCCCCTTCTACTCCTCCTCCTCCTCTTCCTCCTCTTCCTCCTCCTCCGCCTCCTCCGCTTCCTCTTCCACCTCCTCCTCATCCTCCTCCCCGTCCTCCCCCTCCTCCTCCTCCTCCACCTCCTCCTCCTCCTCCTCCTCCTACTCTTCCTCCTCCTCATCCTCTGATTAGTATTAGTGTTATTATTATGTATATTATTGTTTGCATTGTTCTTGGGATTCCTGTTCAACATCATCTTGAAACTAAGTGACTTCTTCTTGTTGTTATTGTTCCTCTTGTTACTCCTCCTCCTCCTCCTCATCTTTCTCCTCCTCCTCGTCCACGTTCTCCGCCTCCTCCTCCTCGTCATCCTCCTCCTCCTCCCGTTCCTCCTCCTCCTCATCCTCCTCATCCTCCTCATCATCATCGTCATTAGCATCATAATCATCGAGATCATCACCACCATTCGGCATCATCGTCACCATCATCATGATGATCATAATCAGAATCATCAGTCTCATCAGCATCACCACCTCAACCATCATCATCATCATCATCATCATCATCATCATCATCATCATCATCATCATCATCATCATCATCATCCTAATCAACATCATCATCATGATAGTCATGATTCCCATCATCAGCATCATCACAAACCTCAGCATCATCATCTGCATCAGCAGCATCATCATGATCATCATCAGCATGAGCATCATCATCATCAGCAGCATCATCCTCATCACCAGCATAATCATCCTCAGCAGCAGCATAATCAGCATCATCCGCATCATCATCAGCATCGCCATGATCAGCATCGCGAATATTGTCACCATCAGCATCAGCATCACCATCATCAGCATCATCACCATCATCATCAGCAGCATCAGCATCATCAGCAGCAACATCATCGTCGTCATCATCATAGCCGTCATCACCACTACTCGTCATCATTCTCATCACCATCATCACCGTGATCATAATCATAATCATCAGTCTCACCCTCATCATCACCAGCACCCTCATCAGCCTCAGCGTCATCATCATCGGCAGCAGCATCATCAGCATCACCACCATCATCAAAAGCAGCATCACCATCGTCATCGTCATCATTGTCATTACTATCACCATCAGAAACCACAACAGCATCAACATCATCACCACAGCCACCACCACCACCACCATCATCATCAGCATCATCATCATCGGCATCATCACCAGCATCACCAGCATCGCCATGGTCATCATCATCATCATCATCATCGTCGTCATCATCAGCATCATCATCATCATCACCATCACCATCATCATGATCATCATCATCACCATCACCAGCATCATCAGCATCATCAGCATCATCATGCCCCTCCTCCTCCTCCCCCTACTCCTCCCCCTCCTCCTCCCCCTCCTCCTTTGGATCCACGATTTTATCTCCGATTATCGATCCCCCCTGGCCAGGGAAAAAGTCCTGCCAAGGGCCAGCGTCTCCAGCGAGGCGAGCCTCGGCGCGGACGGCCCCCGTCTCTCGAAGCCGGGCCACATTTTTTTGCAGACCGAGGGGGGAGCGCCCAGGAGGAAGACTGTTTTGGACTCAGCCTGGCGTTACATCTATTCTGCGACGCCGCGTCGCTAAGGCAGCGGGAAGAGGTGCCACGCATCTGTAGCTACCGAAACAAAGCTGCACACGTGCGTCCTTGCCCGTGGACGCCAATGTGGAACACCCTCCAGCAAGCGCTGGCTGTCGCGAGAGCGGCGAAGGAGGAGGCCAAAAGGAGGAGAGGGAGTGGGGCCGCAACGGTATCTATACTATCGCCTACAGCCAGGGGCGGCAGCTAACGCTGAGACGTGCACACGCATGCAAACAGAGGCCACACTGGGGCAAGCCTCTGAGAAATACGCAGATGACTGGCGTGGTCAAGCGTTGCCCCGCTAAGCAGCAAAAGTGCGTCAAAGTACGCCTGAATCGGCAGCAGAACAAGGCCCTGAGGCACGCAAGATTCGAAGAAAGAGAGAAGGTGTGCTGAGGAGAGGGGGGATGAGATGATCGATGACGGATTAAACCGTCGCGCCTCCACTTGAGTCACAGCCTGCCATCCCACTATCGCAGGCAGCTGTCCTCAATGCGTAAAGCTCTTGCAAATATTTAAAACTGACGTGCGCGGCGCTACGGTGAGCGACACACTTTCAAAAGCGGCACGCACCCCATGCATGAAACTGGTGAGGAAGTATCAGGCGAAACACCCGACCCGCCCTTCCGACTGGCCTCAGGCGCGACAGGGAGGATCTATTCAAAAGGAGAGGGAATGGAGGAGGAGGGAGAGGAGGAAGGGGAGAAGGAGGAGGAGGAGAACAGAGGAGAGAGGAGAGCGGAGGAGGAGGCGGAGGAGGAGGAGGAAGAGGAGGAGGAAGAGGAGGAGAGAGGAGGAGGACAGAGGAGGAGGAGTTACGGAGCTTCCGGTGTTGCGATTGCGTCGGCTTCTATTATATATATATATATACATATATGTATATATATAACAAAAAAATCACGGGCCTGCTCTGCCGGGGCGCAAGCCTTAGGCCATTGCCCGTGCGAGATGCCAAGGAGAGAAGCAGCACGATCACCCGGGGGCGGAACGCCGACCCCTGCCCCAAGAGCCTGGCCAGAGGGGGAGGCGCAGGAGGACCCGAGCAGACCCGAGGTGCACCGACGATGCCACAGCACGCCCTCCCGCCCCAGGGTCTTAGGTCGGGCTGCAGGCGGCTTTTGGACGACAGATAGAACTCACCCGGAATATGCTCCGAAATGCTCAAAATATTAAAATACTAAAACAAAAATAAACTACTAATTATATATATATATAATATATATATATATATAACAAAAAAAAAAAAAAAAAAAAAAATCGCCGACGGTTTTTGATTATGTTTGCACCTCCCCCCTGTACACCCTGCGAGATCCTTAAGAAATCATGGGTTCAGAAATGCATAGTCTCAGAACTTGGATAAAAGCCCAACGTTTCCATTCAAATCTTGGGATTTACATTGAAACATCAAGAATAATCGAGACTCTGGCCGAAAACTTAAGTTTTCCTCAGCATCGCCTAGAGTGTGGAGGGACAGGCCCGACTTCGCCCAGGTCCCCTCCGCACTAGCCCCTGCACGCCTTCCCCTCCTTGCACTGCGGGAGGCGCCCCACCCTTGAGAAAAGACGAGCGCCCGGTGGGCCCGCAACTTGGGCGCGCAGCTCCGATCCGAAGGAGAGCGCCCTCCGCCCTTCGAGCCATCCTCCTCCTCCTCCTCCTCCTCCTCCTCCTCCTCCTCCTCCTCCTTCTCCTCCTCCTCCTCCTCCTCCTCCTCCTCCGCCTCCCCCTCCCCCTCTTCCTCCTATTCTGCCTCCTCCTCCTGCCTCCTCTGCCTCCTCTGCCTCATCCTCTTCTACCTCCTCTGCCTCCTCTGCGTCCTTCTCCTCATCATCATCATCATCATCATCGACGACATCAGGAACATCATCAGCATCATCATCATCATCATCATCATCATCATCATCATCAGCATCATCATCATCGCGACAATAGATGGGAGAGCTCGACGAAGGAGTGCAGAGCGATAGCCCCGCGCTCAGAACTGGAATCGCCCTTGACCCGTGTGTCGTGTAAGGCACAAAGACATACCAGTACTATACGTCCTCCTTGGAGGCGCGCGTCCGACCCGAACATATAGGTTACCCATCTTGTAGTACATCGTCTCCCGAGCGGTGTTGCCAGAAAGCGCCCGCCACCACGCATATACTATCAGATTTCTCTGTGCGCGCGTTGCCCCTGGGGGGGCGACGCACATTTAGTATCAGTATGTTAGGGTGACACCGATGTAGCTGTTGCACGTATTTTTCGCTTCTGCTCTCAAAACCCACGCGACGTCTTGGGCGAGAGCCCAAGCTTGAAAAAGGCACCACATCCGTCCGTGAAAATGCTGCTCGCTTGTACGAGTGATGTGGCATGCCTGGGAAGTCCTAGGCGAAAGCTCCAGTCTGAGAGCGCGTCAGCCTCCATCTGTGAGACTGCTCGGAATTTCTACGACGAACGTGCGCGGCACCAACGCAAGAGCCATGTTTCAAAACAGCCGGCCCACAACCCGTGAAGCTCCTGTAGGAACCTTCCGAAACGAAGGTGCGCGGCGCTGACGCGAGAGACACACCTTGAAAAACTGCCGGGCCGCTGTCCGCACCACTGCAGGAAAAGCTTTCTCCGATGCGCGCGGCGATGGCGCGAGAGCACCGTTGACATGCGATGGCGTGAATCCTGGTAATCCTCCTTGTCCTCCTCCACGCCTCATCAGCATCGCAGTCTTTCTCCCCCTCTTCATCCTCCTCCCTCTCCTCACCTCCTCCTCCTCCTCCTCCTCCTCCTCATCATCATCATCATCGTCATCATCATCATCATCATCATCATTATCATCATCGTCCTCCTTCTCATCGACATCATCATACTCATCATCGTCATCATCATCAGCATCATCAGCATCATCAGCAGCAGCAGCATCAGCAGCATCATCATCATCATCAGCGTCATCATAAGCACCATCAGCATAAATATCAGCATCATCATCAGCATCATCAGCAGCATCACAATCATCCTCATCATCGTCCTCATCAGCATCATCATCATCATCATCATCATCATCATCATCATCAGCTTCATGACCAGCCTGACCATCCTCCCCTCATCAACCTGACCGTCGTCGACGTCGGCGTCATCATCGCGCCAACATCATCCACCACCGTTACCAGAAGCAGCATCATCATCGCCACAACCATCCTCATCAGCAGCAGCAGTCTCGTCGACATCAGCATCACGATTTTCAGCATCATCATCACCATCATCAGCCGCAGCCGCGTCGTCGGTATCGTCATCGTCATCGTCGTCGCCATCATCATCGTCATCGGCGTCATCATCGTCCCCGGTATCATGACCATCACCATGACTATGATTACAAGTATCCCCATCATCCGAATTGTCCTCCCCCCACACACACATCATTTTCCTGCACGTCATCATCAAAATCCTCTCCCTACTCCGTATCTGACGTCCCCTCGTCATCCCCCCTGTCCTCACTTCCCCGCCCCTTCAACACTGAGAGGCGAGCTCGGTAATGCCCTCAGGCAAGACCGTCAACCAGTTGTCTTCCAGCCCGATGCTCTGCAATGCCCTGCTGGCGGCGGCTGCAGCTGCCGCTACCACTGCCATAGCCGCTGCTGTGCGTGCCACTGCGGCTGCCGCCACGGAGGCTGCTGCTGTCCGTTTGCTGTCGTTGCTGCGCGTGCCGCCGCTGCCGCTGCCATGCACCGCGTGTGGCATTATCAACGTGGACGAGGATCCATTCAGGACTTTCCGAGCCTAGACACATGCTGAAGAATCGGTGTTGTCAACATTGCCAACGGACCTCCCTAATCATCTGCAGCATCAGCGTTGCTGCTGGCAGCAATAGACACCCAAGAGAATACCGTAGCACCCCGCAGATGCGGATAAGAGTGAGGGGGCGATGGGGACGTCGGCAGTTTGCGAGACTCCGGAGAAGCCCGCCGCAGGCGCCAAAATTTCAAATTATACGACGAGCCCGCCGCAGGCGCCGATTTTTCCGTTAAAGCAATGTGGGTGGGTCGCGGGTGGGTCGCACATGGCTCGCGGGTGGGTCGCGGATGGGTCGCGGGTTTAGAGGGCAGAAAATCTACCCCATAATAATCACCCCGACAAGCGAAGCCGTTTGGTAAACGCACACAAGGAATGAATCGAACAAGGCAGAGCTGTTTGGTAAACGCCCAAGGCCGTTTAGTAAACGTCAATTGTCGGGTCCGGGTGGTTTCTCCTCCCTTGAGGGTGGGTCGCGGGGTGGGTCGCGGGGTGGGTCGCAGGTGGGTCGCGGATGGTTCGCGGGTGGGTCGCGGGGTGGGTCGCGGATGGGTCGCGGGGTGGGTCGCGGGTGGGTCGCGGGTGTGTCGCGGGTGGGTCGCGGGGTGGGTCGCGGGGTGGGTCGCGGGTTGGGTCGCGGATGGGTCGCGGGGTGGGTCGCGGGGTGGGTCGTGGGGTGGGTCGTGGGGTGGGTCGCGGGTTGGGTCGCGGGTGGGTCGCGGCTGGGACGACGACAACAAACAACAACAACAACAACAACAACAACAACAACAACAACAACAACAAAAACAACAACAAAGACAACAACAACAACAGCAACAACAACAACAACAGCAACAACAACAACAGCAACAACAACAGCAACAACCACACCAACAACAAGAACCGCAACAACAGCAGCAGCAACAACAACAACGACGCAACAAGCAGAATTCTCACCACAAAATCCGTATTCAGCCACGCACCCAGGGACAATGAACGACCGTTCGGCCCCGTCGCTCTGATAACGCTGCGCAGATAGTGCAATAACGAAAGGCACGCCAAATATACAAATCGCGAGCGTACAGCCTACAGCAACAAGAACGTAGAGCAGGAGCGGCAGCGGTTGGCACAGCGCGTGGGAGCATCCTGAGACGACCAAGACCTCCTGGGAGCTTCAGTAGCTGGTTCTTGTCCAAGCCCAACGTGTGCAACGCAGCGAGGTCACTGAAGGGGCATTTCTTGATCAGCTTCATTATTTGTGCGTGCATGTATACACATAATCATGCGCATATAGAACTGAGTCTCTCTCTCTCTCTCCCTCTCTCTCTCTCTCTGTTGTTTCTCTCTCTCTCTCTCTCTCTCTCCCTCTGCCGCACCCCCAACCCCAACAAACACAGACAGGCTCTTTCTCTCTCTCACTCTCTCTCTCTCTCTCTCTTCCCCTCTCTCATGTTCTCTCTCTCTCTCTCGCTCTCTCTGTCTCTCCCTTTATCTCTCTCTCCCGCTCTCTTTCTATCGTTATATTTCTCTCTCTATCTCTCTCTCTCTCTTTCTCTCGCTCTTTCTCTCTCGCTCTTTCTCCCTCTCTCTCTCTGTCTCTCTCTCTCTCTCTCTCTCCCTCCCTGCAACTATAATATCGAAATCTCTCTCTGTCTCTCTCCCTCTCTCGGTGTCCACGCCCATCCCCTCCACCACAAGAACAACGCGCACAATACACAAGAGTATTACGCACACGTGCCGACCTGGGCGCGCAACCCTGCACGCAAGCATGCACACGCGCAACAGCCGCGCGAGCCCACTGTCAGAGTTACGATGTGACTGCTGGTTCCACAGCACGCGTCACACTGCTAGAATCTCGCAAAACACAGCCAGGCACGACGGATGGATTCGATGATGGTGGGATGATGTTCCTGGTGATGCTGGCTGTCATGGGGGGGTATGCCGGCAATGACACAAAGAAATGCGTCCTCATCCCTGATCCCTCCTCATTGTCCTCCTCCTCTTCCCTCATTCCGCATCCCTCCTCCTCCACTTCCTCCGCCTCCTCCTCTTCCTCCTTCTCATCATCAGCATAATCATCGTCATCATCACCATCATCATCATCATCATCATCATCATCATCATCATCATCATCATCATCATCATCATCATCATCATCATCATCATCATCGCCATCGTCATCGTCATCTTCATCGTCATCGTCATTAACCTCATTATCGTCATCGTCAAAATCATCATCGTCATCATCGTCATCGTCACAGTCATCATCGTCATCATCATCACCACCGCCACCATCGTCACCACCGCCGCCACCACCGTGACCACCATCGGCATCATCATCACCGCCATCACCACCAATATCTCCGATCATGGTCATCAAAGCCATCGCAGTCATCCTCATAACCATCATACTCATCGGCAAAATTAGCAGCCGCATCATCATCATCAGCATCATGATCATCATCATCATCATCATCATCATCATCATCACCATCGTCATCACCATCCTCCTCATCA